CCCGGGCCCCCCCGTTGCCTCCCCGGCGGGGCCCCCGGCACAGAAGCTCGGCCATTGTTCCCACGTCCCCGCGCCGCAGCCGGCACAATGGCGCAGCCCCTGACTTCCCCTCCGGCCGATAGCGAGCACAATGGCCGGGCCGCGGTCAGCCAGCATGGCCTGGCACAGCGACCCCCTCGCTGCCAGCCCCCACCTCCCCTGCCACGGACGGCACCACCAAGGACCTCTCAGCATCTCGCAGGGGGAAGAGGGATGAAGGAGGCCGGTAACATGGTCCAAGTCCCACCAGGCTCAATCCCACACGCAACAAAGTGCCTAATGTCAAATGGGACCTTGTTGAAGCCACCTCCAGGAAAGGTGGTGTTGGGGGAAACAGCCCCAACGGCTCTGTGGTCCTCTGGAAGGAGGACCTGCCACATTTCCCAGCTGGGTGGGAAGCCTGTGCAATGTTCACAAGACCATGGGTGGAGTATGCAAGGACCACACGTCTCTCAGTGCCAATAGCGTCCCCCCCCAAGCAAGGCCAAGCCATTCTAGCCAGCAGATAGGGCCACACAATCACCAAGAGGACGTGCCTCAGAAGGCCTTTCGGTTCCTGCATCTCCAAACAAGCAAGGGACACCAACGGGAAATGAGCCACAGGCTGCGGTGATTGGCATGGGGCAGCGTGCTAGACTGCCATGGAGGGGAGGGGTGGACAAGGGATAGCCAGCCCCAGCCCCAGCTCCCGGGTGCAGGGCTAGGGCACCTCATGTGTTGTCCCACGAGTCAAAACCATGCCACTTTCAGGTCCCTAACCCTGCGCAGGAGCCAGCCAGCTCTCATCGGGTCCTTCTCCTGGACCAAGACACCCACCAATCCTCAATGAGTAATCATGGCCACATCTCTCCCCACGCCTGTGGGAGGGACCCCAACGTGCTCACTTCCACAACGACCATGACACAAACATGGGGCTTGGGCAAGGGCAGGGGGGGCAAAGGATGAGAATACGCAGGAGATGGGGGTGCCCAGCTACGAGAGATCATAGCTTCTCCTGCCCCGGGCCCACGTCTGGTCCTCGAGGCAAACTGAGCTGGGGCAGTCAACGAGCAGAGCACTGCAGGCATCACCACTTCCCCAAAGGTCTCTGCAATAGGTCATCAGGCATCTGGGGGAGACGCAAGTGCCAATGATGCACAGGGCTGTGGCACGGCACGCTGCCCACACTGGATCCCACCCGAGGCATCGGATGCAGAATCAGCAGGGCAGAGCGCAGCGGAGTCACCAGAAAGAACCACCTACTCAGAGACATCATCCCAGGAAAGAGGAACGAGGGGAGAGGGGGCTCCTAATAGGTCTGGAAGGAGATGTCTGATAAAGGTCACCTTAACCACCTCTGCTCCTTTATTATTAAAGGAAGATGGACACGAACTCTAATTTGGATGCCTGGGATAGATTCCCCCTTGTCCCCATGATCATAGAATCCCAGAATCTTTTGGGTTGGAAGGGACTTTCACAGACCACCCAGTCCAATTACCCTGCCGTGCACCGAGACATCTTTCACTAGATCAGGTTCCTCAAAGCCCCACCCAATCTGACCTTGAACACTTCCAACGATGGCGCATACACAACTTCTCTGAGCAACCTGTTCAGTGTCTCACCACCCTCATCATAAAACATTTCTTCCTTATGTTCAACCTAACCGTTGCCCCTTGTCCTGTCATGACAGGCCTTGGTGAAAAGGCTCTCTACACGACACTCACGCGAAGGTGGCAGTGACCCTCACACCAGCGCTATCTGGGGCACCAAGGCTTCTCCAGATGGAAGACAGCTCTGTTGAGTCAAATCCCAACTATTCGTGGCCTTTGTGTGACCTACAGCTCTGGAGACAAGCCCAGGATGACCTCTCCAGGACTGGCCACCAGGCCCCACGGCATTACCCCAGCGTTGCTGGGGCTGGCAGAGTGGGTGCAGGGACGTTCTGCTGCGTGCTCCAAGCATCCGACCTGCCTCGCTGGCCTTAGAGCCTCAGTTGGCCACCACCACACCAGGACACCAGTAGCGACCACTTATTCAAGCTCTGTAGATGTGCAGATAAAGCTTAACAGTGGCAGAGGGATTTAGCCCATGTTTTTATGCTGCCATAAAGGTTTAATTCTATTTCTTTTTTACTGCTTGATTTTAGATCAGCATTTAATCACAGCTGCGGCCCCTGTCCAGGCCCTCTGAGGATGTTCCTCTGGACACACCGGGCTGCCAGACCAGAGTCACTGAGGTTGCTCCTCTCCCAGGCAATGGCACAGCTCCCCGCAAAGGGGGACGAAGCTTCACAAAGCCCTATGATTTTTTCAGCCCCGTATAAAGGGTCATTGAATAGCCCCTCCTGTCCTGGTATTAAGCACTACAGAGCCCACCAGGACGAGTGGTCCATGGAGCTGCTGAGCCACCTCCAGATGGGTCTCCACCACAAGGCAGGTGTTGGTGGCTGCCCAACTCAATGCATTGCCGAGGCTGGCTGATGTGGAGTGAGGTTTAACAACCCAGTCATTGACCCAGGTGACCTTGGGACATCAGCCAGGGTCCCAGCATCCCTGTCCCAGCCACATATGGCCACAGTCTCATTCAACTCAGCCACATAGAGCCACAATCTTGTTCAACCCTACCAAGGTCAACACACGGCGCATGTGGATATCCTGACAGAGGGGAAGATATGCTCCAAAAAGGGGATGGTGATGCCCTGCCATGTCCCACATCTGCCCAGGCATCCATCCCCAATGGCAAAACATCTCTCCTTAGCCTCAGCACACTTACGGTTGCACCCAGGAGGGATGGGGACCCATCCTTGACAAGGCCCAACTCTATCACATGAAGAACCCTATTTTAGTAGCTCCAGTTTCTCAGCCAGCTGCAGGATGGAGAAACCAACCAAGGGGGTGACCATTTCATGGGCTCCTGGTGCTATTTACTGTCCCTGGACCTGGCGCAGTGCTGGGAGAAGGGAGTGGCTCCTCTGGCGGCTGTGAGCTCCAAGCCTACTGACCCGCTTTAGGACTCTTTGGAAGAGATGAACTTTTTTTTTTTCCCTTTCTCCCTTTTTCCAGATCACTGACTCAGCAAATTAGAACAAGAATATAATTTAGCAATACAGCGGTTTTTGAAAGACACAGTCCCCCTCTCCTCATCCCCACCGCCCAAACAGATATTTTTTTTCTTCCCCTTCGCTATTCATTCAGAGCTGATGCTAATTGAAAAACGTAGAACGTCGCTAAGAAAATGGTGGGTTGCCTCTTTGGTACAACCAGAGGATGGGCAATGCCCTCGTGCCAGGATGCGCAATCCAGCTGATGCCCAGGTGACTTTTCAGCCTTTTCCAGCTCTAGGAAAGCGCTCCTGGCAGGAAGAAGCACATCAGCACTGCTGACAGCGGGATCAGCTCCCAGAAAAATCAACCCCCTGCTTAAGTTTAACACGTGGGGGACCTGGTGGACAGGTCTTGGCCCAGAGCAGCCATGGGTGTGCTGCAAGAGGCAGGCTCTGCTGGAGCGGCGTGCCCACGTGTCACCACTGTTCTGTGTCCCAGTGCCACCAGCGCCCAGCCCTCACCCACGCCACACCACCGGCACCTGCCCATGGCCCCGGCTGAACTTCAGACCCACACTATGACCCGAGCCACCAGACTTTTCCTGCACACCTTCCCAGCGGATTTGGCAAGGCGGCACCCCAACCCAACAGTGGCTTGCAGCAACTCTCCTCCAAGGCCAAGGGATGGATGTGGTCCCCAAGGGTGACAGCCCAAGTACTGCCCCAAAGCCTCACGCTGTGGGGAACCGGGCATCCCCGCGCTCCGCAGCAGTGGCAGGAGCAGGGGTGGTCCCGGCTCAGCTGGGTGCCGAAGCAGGCGCACCGCCCCCAGGGACTGCAGCCGGGCTGCCACTGGGAAATCCGGCTGGTGCCTTACAGACTCACCCTGACCACCCTCATTGCCACTGAGCACCTTCAAGTTCTGCCCCGCAATGCCAGCTCCTGCCTCCCCACCCTCGGGTTAGACGCCGCTCCCTGGCTCAGGGGGCTGTAGCCCCCCCAAGACAAGGGATGCCGTCACTGAAACTCAAGCAGAGACCCGCTGCCGCCTGTGCCTGCAAAGGGGACAACGAAGCCCAGTGCGCCAGGGACCCCAGGGAGAGACCCCAGCCCTCCTCCCCACGACAATCAACCCCAGTACGTAAGGGAGGGCGGGGGCTGGAGGCACTGGGTAGAGCACACATCTCATGGTGAGAACTGTTAAGGGAAAAGGGGAAAATAAAAAAGTAAGAAGTACCAGGTGTTTTATTATCTAGGGCAAGATCCGAACCCAGGAGCGCAGCCCGAGGAGGGGTTAGGGTGCCTGAGAGGGGCCGGTTACCTCCAGTGCTGCAGAAGGCTTCTTTTTGAGTTCTTCACATTTTCGGAATTTGCAAATCTGGTGGCCAGTTTTGCGATTCCTACAACTGCTGCACTGCTCGCAGTTTATCCGTCTTCGGCAGGGCGGGCACATGCCGCATCTTTTCCGTTTCTTTTTCCCCGAATTGATGGCAGATGCCAACTCATTCTGCATGGGATACTCTGCCAAGCCAGCCATATGGAGCGCGCTCTCTGCCAGAAACACGCCGGCAGGGGTCATAATGAAAAGGCCTGGGTTGATGGGAAAAGCCCCCAGGTAAGGAAAATCAGAGGGGCCGTTCATTGTCTCTGCAGCTGAGACTGCCTCCATGTCAGAGATACCAGTCCCGTGGTCGCTTGCTAGAGGAAGATGCTCCTGTACCACTCTTTTGAGCATTTCTGTCGACTGAGCAAACTGTTGTAGGGCGGTCTGTCCTTCTGAGGAGATCTCCGACACCCGGTCTAATTTGCTCAGCATACTAGAGATGTTTTTGTGCTTTGAGGTAGAATGACTTTTATCCACAGTCGCTTCGTTGCCATTAGCTAAGGGGTTGCCTTTCTCTGAATGTTCGCTTACCGAGCTGCTGCTACCAAAGGTGGAATAGTGGGAGAGTGGACGGGACTTCTTAAGACTTTTGTTCAAAGGTTCACTTATTATTCCACTTTTGTTCCTCCTCTCAGAGTTGACAGGGGGTTGAGAGTCATCTTGGTTATTTTTTTCCGTCTCTGGCTTGTTCCCAGTGTCTTGATGGGAGCCCGAATTTGACATGGTGCCCAGAGCGCAACAACAAAACCAAACCCAAAATTAAAAAAAAAAAAAAACTACCAAAAAAAAACCCCAAACCCCACCCCCAAAGCCAAAGCGAAAGACCCCCAAAGCCCTTTTGGTAGCACCAGCCCGCCAGCCACCAGGGAAAGCTCAGACAGGAACGCTCATCAACGGGGCGTCTCCTCCAGCGGCGGCTGCAGAGGACTTCAGTTCGATCTCAGTGCAAAGACATACTCTGTGGCTCTGGTACACAACATGCGGCTCTGGAAGTGGAAAAGAAAAGAGAGTTAGCGCTGGCAAGAGCCAATGGCCTTTTCAAAGCGGCTCTTCCTCCCCCTGACATGAAAGTCTCAGCGCTGTGAACAAAGAAACTCCAGGGAACGGACCTCGGTGGAGATCCGTTCCGCTGCTCTTTAAAAGGGTCGCCATCCAGATAGAAATGGGGGGTCACTGGGGAAGTCCTGGCCTGGGAGCAATGGCACTCCGACACTTAAAGGCTCTCTGTGCCCGGCTCTCCTCCCCGAGGGACTGCAGCCCCAGGGAAGTCACGGGGCTCATCTCCTGCTCTGCTCCAGCGGCATGCGGCCCCCATGCCAGATGGGACCACGGCCACCCATGGGATGCCCCCAAGCCGACAGCCAGAGCTCATGCGATGGGCACCCGGTCCCCACCCTGCAGCTGCTCGTGTCCCTGCACCCCAGCTCCCGTGCCCTCCCAGATGCTGCTGCTCACCCAGCTCAGGCTGGTCTGCTCCCTCTAGCCTCCTCTTCCTCCTCCTCCTCCTCCTCCTGGACCCTCGTCCCCAGGCCAGCACTGCACACCAGCAGGGGAAAGAAGCTACGTGGGGAGCTGTAGCATCCACCTCCAAGCCCCACAGGGACCCCCACTGTCCCCCTCCAAACCCTACCAAGAGCTGTAGCATCCATCTCAAAGCCCCATGTGGAGCCACAACAACCACCTCCAAGCCCCATGGGGAGCTGCAGTGTTCACCTCTAAGCCCCTGTAGCAGTCTCCATCTTCAAGCCCCATGGGTAGCCATGGCATCCACCTCCAAACACCATGGGCAGCTATGGCGTACACCTCCAAATCCCATGAGGAGCCACAGTGTCCACCTCCAAGCCCGATGGGGAGCTGCAGCATCTACCTCCAAGCCCTGTAGGAAGCTGCAGCATGCACCTCCAAGCCCCACGAGGAGCCGCAGCGTCCACCTCAAAGCTCCATTGCTGACCTCCTGCCATGCCGCAACGTGCCCTGCCCGCACGCCCACCGCAGGCAGCCAGCCACGCCAGTGGTGGCAGAGGCTCAGCAGTGATGGCGAGAGCCCCCGCCTCGGCACTGTTCCCCAAAGCGGGGACAATGCCGCCGTCCCCGGGGCGGCTTGGGGGCAGCTGGGCCCAGCGTGGCTGCAAACACTTGTTGTGAAATTCCTCCTCCTCCCCTCTGGAGCACGCACGTACGCACGCACAGGCACCGCCAGAGTAATCAGGCTTTAGAGGAGAAAAGCTGCAGGGCTTAGCGGAGCAGGAACCCACGTCCCCACCCCGGCAGCAGCTGGGGGAGGGCAGCGCCGGGAGGAGGCCCCCTGCCTACCCCATCTCTCCGTCCCGGCCATCCCGGCAGCCTCCTCTCCAGAGTCCCAGCAAGGACGTGGCCACGTGTGGAGAGCTCTGCCAGGACCCTCGCTCCTGCCCCGGGGTGATGCAGCCCCGCGAGGGGCATCCCTGCACACGGCTTATCCCTCACCCTTTGTGTCCCCTTCATCACAGCCAAGCTGTCATGCGACCCCCAGCCACCCTGCCGCAGCCCACAGCCAAGCCATGGGCATCGCCACTAAAACGCTGATGGGGACCAGGTCCCCGCGCCAACCACCACGGTACTGGCAGAAGACAGCCTGCCCGTCTCACCCTGGTGCCAGAGCCGGCTCGCCTGCGGAGAAACACACACACACACCCCGCCCTCGCACGAAAAACCGCTTGCTTCAGCTGCTGCGGGATTTAAGATGCAGCGTGGATCGATGCAGGGCTCGGGTTCCAGCCTGGAGCGCGCCAGGCCACGTGGGGAGGGAGGGCTGCGGCGGCAGGACGGGCTGCCCTTCCCCAGCATCGCCCTCCACGCCGAGCAGGGGGATGCTGGGCGGCGCCAAGGCCGGGGGGCACCCGAGCTGGGCTGCCATGAGCTGGGACACCCCTCCCTGGCTGCCGGGGAGGTGGGGGACCCATCCCTGCGGGCGTTAGGACAGGTCACACCTTAATGCCGAAAGCAACGGGTGCTGGGGCCGGAGCGGGGAGCGCGGCAGGAAAAGCACCGGACGGGAGGATGTGAGATAAAACCGCCCGTCGGTGTTATCTCGTGCCTGCCCGCGGCTGCCTTTCCTGCCGCCCTGCGCCTCTTCCGCCCCGCACAGGGAGCCAAGCGCCGGCTCGGGATCAGCCCAGGATTTACCAGCCTCGTGGCACTGTAACTGCCCCACCGCGGTGCTGCTGCGGCAGTAACTGGGGGTCTCCGGCCACAATAAGGAGCAGAGCAGGAGGGACAGCAGGAGCTTGTCTCCCATCGCTCCGGCAAAGCGCCTGAGCCATGACGGCGGGGGGCTCACCGAGGGGTCCCCGCCAGCCCCACAGCACAGGGCGGCGGGGTCTGGGTGCGAAAACAGGGAGGACACTGCAGGCATGCCACAGTCGCCACTACCATCAGTTCAGGTCTTCCTTCCCCAGCTGGGTCTGCCGGCCAGTCCCAGCCTGCCACGTCCATCGGGTGCCAGCGGCTCCGAGACTCCACCAGCTGCAGGCTCCTCCGGAGCACGGGTCCCCCGGCACCCACTGCTGTGCTGGGCGGCACTGCGGGACGAGGTCACCCCATCCCACCCAGCACAGCTCCCCTGCCACCCCATGGGGACAAGTGGCACACCGTCGTGTTCCCTCTCAACCCCAGTGGTGTGAGGCAGTGCCCAGCGGCTGGCGTGGCATGCGGTGCCAAGCCGTGCCGAGCCGTGCCGAGCGGCACCGACACACAATCCCACCATTGTCCCCAGCCACCACCATCTGCAGCCGCCCAGCGCTGGGCACCGGGCACTGCCGCTGTGCCAGGTGGGACGGCTCTGTCCCCACACCATCCCCAGCCCTGGGGACCCCAGGACCTGCTTTGCCCGGCTAATTGGCACAAAGGGGGGTGTCCCCCTCCCACACCCCGAGACCACCCAGCACAGCAAACATCTCAGCTGCTCCTCGCCAGCCTCTGCCCGGCTGGGTTGCTAATTGCAGCGGGGGGAGGAATTAATGATCTTAATCCCTTCTTTATGATTGACCAGAGTAAAGAACGCCAGGGCCCCCCCTTCCCCATCCCGTTTCTGCTCCTGTTCTGGCCCCCATCCCCTGGGGAAGGCGCTGGGCAGTGTCATCTGGGTCCCTTCCCTGTCAGAAGGTGCTTAGTCCCGGCCGTGGCATTAAGGGGCACGTGATGGGCTCCCTCGCCCCGGTCTTTGCACATGGCAGCTTAGCAGCCTGGAGGGACGCCAGGGTTCAAGGGGACACCGCCAAGGTCGGGAGGCCCCAGCCCACACCCGGAGGGTTCCCAGGCCTTTGCTCTCCCCCCTCCCTTGAGTAATCCTTTCTAATTTCAGGGTAGTGAATATTCAAGCCATGACTATGCTATTTTACTCTGTTTCCATTTTCTTGCCACAAAATGTTTCTTAAACATAAGGTTTGCATTGTATTACCCTGTGAATGTTTCACAAATGTAAAAATATGAAAATGGAAAACTACAAGACAGAAATTGACTTTTTTTGAGCCTTTCTTATCCAGGAGAACATTTTAATAAATTTTACGGAGCATATTCATAAAATGTTGTCTGCTAATTGTGAAATGATTGAAATATTCTGAAAATAGATCCTATGTACTTAAGTTAAAAATTAAGAATGTGTTGATTATCTTTAATAAAAAATACAAATCTTGATTGAAAAAAAAAAAAAAACAAAACCCAAAGGTTGCAAAAAGGATCTTTGGCGGTCCAGCACCCAGAGAAACCATCACCAGCTGATGGACTCAGAGTCTCCCTGATTGCAGGCACCATTTACCGGCAGAAGGGAGCAGGAGCGGAGCTTCACTTCTCGTAAAAAACAAATGACAAGCTGTGATTTCCAGCCCTCTCCCCTGTGTTATTTCACTGCATCGCTGGAAAGCCATCAGCTTCTGCCGACGTAAAAAGTCTTGTCTTCGAGAAAGAACTTTAGCTTTCCTTTAATTTTAAATAAATTAACCTCCTCCCAGAAAAGCTGCCGGCCAGTCAGCTGCGCACAGACACGGCCGTAAAGGCATAAGAAAGCAGCAAAGCTGAAGCCGAGCGGCTCTCAGGCTCCGGAGACAAAGGGAGAAAATAAAAGTTCAGCTTTTTTTCTAATCTCTGGGCACTGGGTGGGCACCAGGGGTGGCGGCTTTGTCCACCCGGAGCAGACGGAGGACGAGGACGGAAGGGACCCCGGCGCCTTTTCAGTCTCCAGAAAGGCGGTAATTGTCCCTTCTGCCGGGTTTTTGTCCCCGCTTCCTCCCTCTCGCCACGCGTCCTCCTGCCCAGCGCTGCCCCCACCTCCCTAGCAAAGCCCTGGTGATGGACGGACAGACAGACAGACTCAACCATAGCACAGGCAGACCTAAGGAGGGCACCCACCACCGGCACTTGTCCCTCTCCAAGGCACCCCAGGAAGGGTGTCGGTCGAGGGAGGCTGCAGCTGGAGGTGCCCTGCCAGCTTGGAGGTACCAGTCACAGCTCCAGAGAGGGGCCAGAGGTGGGCCCGGTGCTCCTCAACCACCCTGGCCAACAGCCATGGGTAGGACCTCAGGATGGCCAGGATTGCGGGGCCATGGGTGGTGGGAGCAATGCATGGGGAGTCCCAAGACACCCTTATGTCATGCTGGTGTCTGAAACACACCCTGGGATGAGAAAAGCCAGCAGGTAGCACAGGACCACCACCCTGTAGCACCATCATGGGTCAGAAGGTCCAGCTGCAACCCAGGTCAAAGGCTCAAGAAAACAAGCACTGCCAGAACAAGGTTCAAAGCAGCTCCAA